CGGAGCTTCAATTACACCCACGGAGCTTCAATTACACCCACGGACAGCAACAGGCATCTAATTCTGATCAAGCGCTTTCACTTTCTCACGACAGATGTGCTTTAGTAGCGCATTGAACGGAACCTCTTTTCAGCTCGCGAGTTGTGTAGGGGACATATTTCAACGATACACGCATGCGCTGTACACAGTAAACGCCGGGTCTGTAAGGGGCCGTTCGGCAGCATGGATGCGGCAGAATTGGGGGCTTTTACTCCCGAGCAAGCGGCGGCTCCGGTAAATACGGTGGAGGTGAGTGAAAGCAGCGGAACCAAAACAAAAAAGCGTTCGTGGAAACTTGAAGCTTTTTAAACCCGCTGAGAAAACAAAACAAAAGAGAGAGAGGGAGAGAGAGGGAGTAAATGTAGCTTCAGCGGCTTCTGATTAAACAGTTTTCTGACCCTCTTTTTACTGTTGGAGGATATAAGAGACACATTAGTCACTCTGCAAAGTGAAGCATAGAGTAGGTAGTTTACAGGGGGTTAGACCTCTTTCCTTCTCGGCATCTTGGTGATTAAAAGGGGAATCAGTCTTCAAACAAGCAGGGCTATCCTTGATAAAATTCTCAGCTTTCTAAGACAAGAAACCCAAGGATTGAATTGTCATCTATTTGGGTTGATTAGTAGATTTGCTACTATCAGTGTGCCTTCTCTATGATACTATATTCCTAAACCAGCAGATTTAATTCATCTCTGCTTTTGACCTTAAGTGTGGTTGCCAGCCAATACCTTTTGTCTCCCCTACTTTTCCTAGAGATCTTAGGTCAGAAGTTCTGGAAACTTGACTTTCCTAGACTTTGTTGGAGTTTGAGGAATCCCAGACAAAGCAGCTGTTGCTCCAGCCAGTATTGCTGTCTCATGTTTGATCAGAGCAGCTTTGTTTCACCACTGAAGAGTGATGCTCATAGGTACTTCAGTACCTTTAGGTGCCTATGCATCTCTCACACACATGCACTTTACCCATGGTCTTTCTTAACAAATTCCTCCCAAAATAAAAAACTTAAGTAGTATAGTTTGAAATTGATTACTAGCCACTTTTCAGAAACAGTTACCTTTGCTAATCCTGAGTGAATTAGGAAAACATGGGGCATTCATAGAAGCAATGAAGGAAGAAACTAATGGGAAAGTTCATTTGCCAAGGTAAGCCAACATTTCCAAGAATTCTGGTTTACTGGAATGAGTCAATATGTTGCTTAATCACATCTGCTTGTCTTTATGTTTCTGATCTTAGCTTATTAAGAGAAGTCAGAACTTCTGGTTTGCAGTTCATGGTATTTTTCGTGTTTTGTTTAGCCTTCCATTTGACAGCAGGAGCCATTTAGGAATAATCCAGAATTGGGCACCAACATGCTAGCTCATTCACAATAACCTCTAATTCTTAGAAATCATGAATTGTTATGTATGAACAAGATCTTCTTATATTTACATTGGTTTGAAGGCCATGATTTAACCACCTTGCTAAAATAGCATGGTTTGAAGACCACTACCCACCTTACTAAAGTTCTAGTTCAGCATTCTAAATCTGATCAAAATCTAAATGAGAGACCTGCTAGAAAGTCCAGTACTTCTTAAATTCTGTGGAATAAGAAATAAAAGTATAAATTAGCTAAGCTTGCAATCTTATGTACGTATGTATGTATGTTTTAATTATAAAACTGTTCATTTAAAAAATAAAAGTTACCTATTTTTCTTGCACATTTATTCCTCATCTTTTAACTCTTTTGATGTATTTTTGTTTTCAGGAAAAATGGAGGTTACTTCCAGCTTTTCTGAAGGTTAGTACAAAGTAGTTATATATAGTTGCTGGTTTTACTCAGTTATTCTCTACAATAATGGGAAAATATATTTAAGATAGCATATTCCTGGTGTGCATTTTGTTATTTCTTTATCTGGACTACTAATGTAACTACTAACTCCTTCTGTAATATTGTAACTTTTGTAATATTACATTTTTTTCCTTTTAATTTTATCCTCTTAGGTATATTTAGGAATTAAAATTAGAATGAGTTTATGTGGGCTGAAAGGTAGTATAATTAAAGCCAACAGGAGTAATGTAGCTTAGTTACTTGTGTTTTGTATTATTTGTCTGTATTATTAGCTTTATCTGTATTTTAAAATATCTACTGGTTCAGAAGGAAGATCCATTCTATCCTCTTTATTTCAAGGGTCAACTAGTTCATTACAAGCTGGGCCTGTAATAATGAGAGTAATAGTGTTCTCATGCTATTGTACCTCAGCAAATAGTGTTACTATAGGCCTGTTCTCCCTGATTCTGGAAGATACAATCCAAGTTTCTTTAAAAAAAATTTTTTTTATTATACATGTATGTTATCTTCATCTTTTATGTTTTAAATGTATACCAAGAAACCTGATACATGAAGCACCCTAATACACACACACACTTATAAATGATAGATCTAAACATCCATGCACATCTCATAATTTATGCTATGAAACTAATGTTCACACTGCCAGGATGGCTGAATTATTGTATGCAAAACCAAATTCATATTTTAAATAATTTAAGATATTATGGAAATCTTTCCAGTAAAACATCAAAGTATTGAAATTTAACCAGTCCAAAAGTTCTAGTTTATTTTTTTTTCTTCACTAAAGGGAATCCTCCTTTGTCGTTATTTTAGGTAAAAGGACTTGTAAAGCAACATATAGATTCATTCAATTATTTCATCAATGTAGAGGTAAGCTATTTTGTTTCATTGAATATTAAAGCCTATAGTATATAGCATACCCTGCAACGCTATGTAAACCTTAACTTCTTTCATTTCCAGATAAAGAAAATAACCAAAGCCAATGAAAAAATTACAAGTGATGCTGACCCAATGTGGTATTTAAAGTAAGCCTAAATTTTATTTTGGTTGTAACTTGAATAACTTGATTCAGCTTCCATGCAGGCTTTAGTTTAATCCATGAAAATCCACTGTGGGATCTTATACAAAGTGCTGCAGATGTGCAGAATAACATATGATATAATTGATTTAGCTAAGCTGGATTAAGTGGCAATATGGTTTTCCTCCAGATGATAGATTTAATAAAAAAAAATTCAGCTTTCTTTTTTCTTGCAGTGAAATATCATTTGTAGTATTTAGTCTGATTTTTCTAAATATTCATAATTGGTTTTAGTAAATGGAAATATAACATTAAACCTGAACTACATA